GAAAATATGCAATATATATATATATATATATATATATATAAATGTAAAAGTTCAATATTAAAAATATAAATATTTAATGCAAATATGATATAATTGTAAAGTAATAAATAAAATAATAAAAACTAATAATAAAATAAATTTAAAAATACACAAAATTAATAAATAAAAAGGAAAAACAACTTTGTCTTCTGCTCCTAAATGTAGGCCTATTAGGGTTAACCAATAATGTAACTTTGTTGAGCACCTCTCTCGCACCTCAAAGCAGTGGCAGGAAGAGTCAGCAAAACCACAGAGCAACGGCTACCATGGCCAACTTTACCAAACCTCAGTCTCACTTATAAAGGAAATAAAACATCATATGTCTATAGTTTTTTTGTATGGGGAAGACATGGGGTATGTAATGGTTTTCTTTATCCTCTGGCACAGAAAATGTCTGACCTCATGAAGGACATGAATCAATGAAGGAGTGATTGTTTCCATCATGATAACCTGCATGAAAGGGCAGCCTCAGCATGCACGGATATCCATTGTACCTGGCTATCAAAAATATCAGAGCAGATTTCAAAAAGTCACTGATAAGCATCCTGGTTCTCCTTAACACTTGTGCCAGCTTCTTTATCTGAGCTTTCTTCTACATACACAGGAGGGGAGAGACCTTTTGGCGAAGGCTTTGAAACAGAGACTGAATGAGGTGAATTAAGGAGGAAAGAGAGCAGGGGTCCAAAGCTGCTGGAACAGAGGAACAAATCTCCGTCTGCTTTTCAAACACACACTTTCCCTCCATTGCTAAGCAACAGATGTTGTAAAATGAGTGACTCAGTACTTGAGAAAAAAGGACCTTTATATAACTTCCTGCAGTGGAGGTTTAATTTAGTTAACGCTCAAGAACACTACATCATTTTGTCCATTGAAATGGTGCAACATTGTAACTGCTCTAAAGCTTCTGGTGTTAATATTAATCCCACAGATGTCTCAATAAACATGGAAGACTTGTGGCGACAGCTGAAGGTTGAATTGCTCTGGATAAACTTATCCAAAGTTTCTTGGGTCACGCCCTCTTCTGCTTTAGGGTCAAGGCCAGGAACGGGAGATAACGTCACCTTTCTGAAGATTCATTCATTTAGTTTAGAAACAATTTTCAAGTAACTCAAGTAAATACCAAGTAACACTAAATTAAACATAAAATCTTTAATTAGTAAGACTGAAATAAAAGTACAACGTTAATCTTTGTTTTATTTACAGCTTTGAAAAAATGTTTTTTTTTTAACAATGTAAAAGGATATAAAATGGTCTCTTATTACTCTGTTTATATATTTGAATGTGTTTTTCCCAAACAAAAATCTCTCTATTCTCTTTCTTAGTCTGTTAAGTGTTTTACATCTATTGTGCATTACCTATAAGCTATTTAATATATTATTTCTAAGTACATTATAATTAATCCTGTAAGTTGGTAAGGAATGTGGTAAAGTGGATTATGTTTTTATGAGGTGTCAAAGAAAATTAAAAACAGAATGGGTGGGACCCATCAAAACCTGAAATAAAAGTACAACGTTAATCTTTGTTTTATTTACAGCTTTGAAAAAATGTTTTTTTTTTAACAATGTAAAAGGATATAAAATGGTCTCTTATTACTCTGTTTATATATTTGAATGTGTTTTTCCCAAACAAAAATCTCTCTATTCTCTTTCTTAGTCTGTTAAGTTTTTTACATCTATTGTGCATTACCTATAAGCTATTTAATATATTATTTCTAAGTACATTATAATTAATCCTGTAAGTTGGTAAGGAATGTGGTAAAGTGGATTATGTTTTTATGAGGTGTCAAATATTTTTTCAGGCAGAGGGAACTTGTTATTAATTTGGCTTTTATATGTCTGAGACTTTTCAGAGACTAAAAGGGAGAAAATTAAAAACAGAATGGGTGGGACCCATCAAAACTTTTATTAATTTTCTATACATCTTACACACTGGTAGTTCTAAAGACATATTTTTTTTACATTACAAACAATAAGCAAGGTGGACAGTCATGATGCTTGTGTTTTAACATTAAAATATCATTACAGTTTCTAAAACCTTATGTCAGCATTGCTACAATAAATCTGAAATGAATGAATTAACTTTCAATGGGATGTTTGAAGAATCCAAGTTTAAATTTCACAATTACTATTTATACACATTTCCCTTATTTTAACATTGTGTTAATGTAGTGTAGAAATATGAACTGGTGACCTTTGAAGTTTTCACACATTAAACCGGTAATTTGTGACATCATTCCATTTTTATATTAGTTTTGGGAAAGCAGGAGACATTTACAATGGTTTGATTGATCAGTTTGTCTCTGGCCAGTTTCAGTTCAATTATTCTACAGCTCCCCGACCCTCAACAGCTCACTTTGTGTAATTGGTTGAAAAACAGCTCAGCTGGTACAGCTGGTCATATAATATAACCAAGAGGAGCTCCCTTGGTAGCAATTTGCTTAAACAAAGTCTTGGTATTTGGTTATACAGGCAGACTGCTTTTCTCAAAAGCACTAAACACACCACTCACACTTCATCAGAGTGATGAGCAGCACCAGAAAAAGTCTGGCTCTTAAAGTGTCAAAGAAACATGCTGGAGGATATATTTGCATTGACGTGCATGTTGCAAACTGCAAACTTTAATTTCTAAATAATTAACACACATTACCATTCAAAATTTGGGGTCAGTAAGATTTGTTTAAAGTAATTAATACTTTTATTCAGTAAGGATGCATTACATTGATCACAAGTGACGGTAAAGATTTCTATTTTAATAAGCACTGTTCTTTTGAACTTTCTATTCATCAGCATATTACAATGATTTCTGAAGGATCATGTAACACTGAAGACTGGATTAATGGTTGCTGAAAACTCAGCTTTGCATTACAGTCATTCATTACATTTTAAAAGACTGAACATTTGATCTAATTATTGCACCCATAAGCATCATAGACTTCTTTTAAACATAACCGTAAACTGTATGGTAGTGTACAAAAAGTCATTTGAAGTTTCTTTTAAATATTTAGTGTTGCATGTGCACAAATGGAGTTTATTAACTTAATCTCTTCATTCAGTAATGGAAAAACATCCTGTATTTCAGCACACTACAGCAGCTGAGTTGCTGTTCCATAAATTAACTAAGATCACGCATACGGGGTGTACATCAAAAAACATCTTTCGCCTCCAGAAAGAAGCACGGCTGTGAAATATGCACATGTGGTGAGTGCCATCGTGTGAGGAAAACAGACTTCAGGCCACGCCATTGTGTTCCAGGTGGTTCCAGTTTCAAGCCTCCCCAGTGTGCTTTCTCAGTGCCATGCAGGGCTGAATGCAGTGTGGGGGATGGACCAGCCCTCCATCTGACATCAGGAGCTCAAGTGCTGGTTATGTTAACTCAATGATACAGTTTATTGAAGATGGGAATCTATTCGACTTCCAGCTTGTGCTATTTATGGAAACTCATCCTAATTGGTGTTTAAAAAAATGTAAAACTGACTAATGTTGTTCTGCCTGACTCAATAAGCCTTGCATTGTAATTAAATATATAATGCAATCTGAAACTTAAAGATGAAAGCCCCCCCCTCTTATTGTGTTGCAATTGTGACCACATAAACGGAACATGAGGGTGTGTAATTGATGACAGAATTTTAATTTTTGTATGAATAATCCCTTTATAACAGTATTGAAAACAATGAATAACTGAAATAAGTGAAAACAATACTAACACTTCTTGGTTTAGAAAGAAATGTTTCCATTATTTGTCAAAAATTTTATCATTTGTCTTTTAAATAATCCAAATTACAAATTTGGTATGGCTGTTGTCACTTGACTTTCTAAAAGATCAAAAATCACCATCAGGATCTATTAAATGAAAATTGTTGGTACATTTTACCAGTTTTTACCATACTTTCAAACCAAAAATGTAAATAGGAAAAATATGCAATATGAAAATAATTGAAGACAAAATGTGTTTTACTGAGAAAAAACAAGATTTGGTTTTTAAAAAGCCTTTTTCCAAAAGGTACATCTGGAAAAAGGGGGGTCGTCTTATAATCAGGGTCATCTTATATTTGGGCCAATACGATAAGTGATTCCTTATGGATTGTGCACTGAAAACACAAAACAGAACAATCCCATCGTGTGCTTTACATCTAAATCTAAGATGTAATTCATCCATTGTCAAACACCAAATAATTGATCAATTTTCACAATCAGTTTAATTCTATTAGTGGTCTCAGGAAAAAATTAACATCATGTTTTACAAAAAAAAATAAAAAATTGCAGAGCTCACAAAAAGCCTTATTAAGGTGCATCTTGAGAATTTAACATGTAAACTATTGTTATATCTGTTCTGTTTTATAGCTAACTAGAATCTATCAATTGTCACTTTCAATATTTATTAGTATTGCACAGTTCTCTCTAAAAAAATATCCTGTGCATTTAAATGCTAGACTTGCTTGTGGTCTGCATGTGAGAGTTTTGAGAATGTCTGTTATGGACTGGCACATCAGGAAAGGTGTGGTGAATGCAAAAACTGCACTACGCCCAGGAGACTGTGCATCAAGACTGTCACCTAAACCACAAGTGC